AGGTGGGTAAGACGTTTATAATTGTCGGTTTGGACAAACGGAAGAAGAACCTATTTCTGTGCTTTCCACACGATGCTTTCGATTCCATGCTGCTTTCTAGGCAAAGCAAAGGTAGTTGTTAAACATGATACGTTACTTCTGGTACAAACGCGAAACGCCTCCGGACAACACGCCAGGCAATGCAAAAGTAAAGGAAATAGGTCTCGGAAGTTAGAAAGCAGAGGTGGTCAAATTTGATAGAAAAATATTTAAAAAAAGTGGATTATGTAACACAACGCCTAAACAAATATTGCTTTCTCAACTTCACTCATCATGTAAATGTGTTTGAAAACTGAAAATTAACATACATTCATTGACTGCTTGTATTTTTTTTTACTTTTTCCCTGGCGATATAATCTCATTCTTTGAACAGCTGTAATATCTGTCTTGCCTAAAAAATATTTGCCATTTTAATAACTTCAAAAATTTATAGAAACTACGAATAATATAGAAATAATTTCTAATCAATAAACTTACGTTTAGTACACGGCACAAATGTCTAATTTGTTTTATTATTTTCAAGCAACAGGGTAAAATATTCTTGAAAGATTAGGATTTGTACTACTAGTGATCATAAAATTATTAAAAATTTAATTACAATTTTACCAATAAGATTATAATAATCTTGTTCTCCACTGCTAAAAACCCTTACGGCTAAATGAGGCTATACGTTTTTATGTTTGTTGTTCAAACTGCAGACATCCACACCCCTCCACATTCATTTATCGCCGATCCCACCCAAACATAGACCTCCACCGTCACCTCAACCTACAACTTAGCCGCTTTCATAGCCTCCACCGCCGCCGTGGCCGATCGCTCCACCGCCTCAAAGATAAACAAGAAACGATAATTGCTTATCGCGTAGCAAATAATGTTTCATGTTATTTTGTTAATCTTTTTCAACCGACGATAGGATACTTGACTCTTTGAAAAAAGTGAATAAGTAAAAAAAGATCGAAAAAGCATGGTAGATGAATTATTTACTTGAAGAAATGAAGTTAATTAAATGTTTACAGGATATATTGTAAGCGTAATATTTATGTTAGTAAGTATAAAACAAAGTGTTCGATACAAAATTATAAAAGCACTACATAATAAATTACATCGATTCTTTATCAATTCTAGAGTTTGAAAAGAACCTTATTTACAAAAAAGTGGAAAATATGTAGAATAATTTTGCATGTATTGTGCAATTTTCCCTAATACATAGCCTCTATATTCATCGCCGAGAACGTTCTGTATTAAGTCCGCCTTTTTGAATTATATCAAGTGAAAAATTTTATGTAAATTGGAAACATACGAGCAGAAAGAAAAACTACCATGAACTAGGGAGGTATAATAATGTAGATTTTTGTTAAGATAGCAGATGGAAAATGGCGAATAAGTTTATCTATTCGATAAAGAAGAGTGATAAAAAAATATCATAGGGTAGAGTGTTCTCGACTTTTGTAATTATTTGATTACAATTTAAACTTAAAGGGCTGTTGTTTTAGGCCAAGAACTCAAGATTGTGCACTAAAAATTGTATATGAATATTAAAAAAAAAACGAAAAATGAGTGTGAAAAATAGCCAAGGTTTCTGAAAAATAGCCAGAGTCTCTGAAAAATAGCCACAGCCACGGAAAAATTGCTAAAGTTTCTTAAAAGTAGCCAAAAGTCTCTGAAAAATAGCCAAAAGTCTCTGAAAAATAGCCAAAAGTCTCTGAAAAATAGCCAGCGTCTCTGAAAAGTAGCCAGGGTCTCTGAAAAATAGGCAAGGTCTCTGAAAAATGGCCAGGGTCTCTGAAAAATAGCCAGAGCCTCGGAAAAATTGCTAAAGTTTCTTAAAAGTAGTCAAAAGTCTCTGAAAAGTAGCCAAAGGTCTCTGGAAAATAGCCAAGGTCTCTGGAAAATAGCCAGTGTCTCTGGAAAATAGTCAGAGTCTCTGAAAAATAGCCAGGGTCTCTGAAAAATAGCCAGAGTCTCTGAAAAATAGCCAGAGCCTCGGAAAAATTGCTATAGTTTCTTAAAAGTAGCTAAAAGTCTCTGAAAAGTAGCCAAAGGTCTCGGAAAAATAGCCAAAAGTCTCTGAAAAATAGCCAGAGTATCTAAAAAATAGCCAAAAGTCTCTGAAAAGTAGCCAGGGTCTCTGAAAAGTAGCCAGGGTCTCTGAAAAGTAGCCAGGGTCTCTGAAAAGTAGCCAGGGTCTCTGAAAAGTAGCCAGGGTCTCTGAAAAATAGCCATGGTCTCTGAAAAATGGCCAGGATCTCTGAAAAATGGCCAAAGCCTCGGAAAAATTGCTAAAGCTTCTTAAAAGTACCCAAAAGTCTCTGAAAAATAACCAAAATTCTCCGACAAGTAGCCAGAAGTCTACAAAAAATAGACAAAAGCCTCTAAAAAATACGCAGAATCTCTTTAGTAATTTAAGCATTCAAGCTATTAAGGCATTTAAGTAAAAATAAATACATCATATCACAACTTTAAATAATGTTTATTTTTAAGGAACAGGGTAAAATATTCTTTTGATTCAGGAATTTTTCATTAAATCAAAATTTTTACTACGATGTAACTTTAAAATGTTTATTTATCTATCCGATTTCCTTGTTGATATCGGTACGCATACAACGTTGATGCCGGTACGCATACAACGACAGATCTCTATTCTCATACACGACGACTAATCACAATCGACCCGTATTGTAATGATTTTATCGAGAGCAAATGACGTACAGTTCTGGCGTAACGCATTTCCGTAGCATTTGTACGGATTGACACTCTAGTCACACCTAAAAAAGTTCACTTATAAAAATCAAGAGTGTCCCAATGTCGATTACCTCGTCGATTTGTTCTCTAACGATCCCATTCTTAACCGACCCTGTATTGATTGAAATTGAGCCATCATTCAATTGCAAAGATAGCTTCTACAGCTACAAAGCTTTGAAAAATTCTAGAGCTGTAGATTTTTCCGTTAACTCGAGCATTCATTCGGAAACTATATTCGTGTGCATTTTCACGCACGATTACACCGCCACGACGACGGACGAGGAATACGCAAACGCCGTGGAGCAACCGGTGGAGGAATAAATATACAAATATATTATTTGTAATACATTTATTACGTTATAGAGTCAAGAGTTATATTCGTAGAGAAGTGGGTTTGGAGTTTATTGAGGTAAGTTGGATTGTGTAGTTATGTATATATGTTATTCACGCTCTATAGAATTTATTATCAACAAACAGAACTATCGATTCCGATCTTAATCGTTCCTCCACCTGCAGTCGTTGTATTTCTATTTTCTATTTGAATAACAACCAGTTCGACCGCTATGCGATTTGGTTTCTATCCTTTCCGCGAGAGGCGTGTCCACTACTAGCGGCTACTTCCGGTCCGCGCTTCCGGTTGAAAATCTAGTGCGCGCTTTTTGATTAATACCCTAAAGTATACGCTCGATCGGCGGTGGCGGTGGAGCTACCGGTGGAGGACGATGTGGTGCAATAGACTTTTGTGTATTCTAGCCAAACGTTATATGGTAAACAATAGAACAGGGCTTGTAAAGGACCTATTTTTGCATAATATAAGTATAAATTACAAAATTTGTTGACTATCTGAAAATAGCCAGGTATGTGAAAAATTTCCAAAGTTTCTGAAAAGTATCCATAGTCTCTGAAAAATTGCTAAAGTCTCTGAAAAATTGCTAAAGTCTCTGAAAAGTTGCCAAAAGTTTATAAAAAGTAGCCTGAAGTCTCTGAAAAATAGCCAGAGTCTCTGAAAAGTAGCCAGAGTCTCTGAAAAATAGCTAAAGTTTTTTAAAAGTAGCCAAGAGCTTCTAAAAAATAGCCTGAAGTCTCCGAAAATTAACCTTAAGTCTGTGAAAAATAGCCAGAGTCTCTGGAAAACAGCCAGAGTCTCTGGAAAATAGCCAGAGACTCTGGAAAATAGCAAGAGACTCTGGAAAATAGCAAGAGACTCTGGAAAATAGCAAGAGACTCTGGAAAATAGCAAGAGACTGAGAAATAACCAAGGTCTCTGAGAAATTGCCGGAGTCTCTAAGAAATTACTCAAGTTACTTAAAAGTAGCCAAAGGTCTTAAAAAAGTTGCCAAGAGTCTCTGGAAAATAGCTTAAAGTGCCAGAAACTCTGAAAAACAGCCAGAGTCTCTCAAAAACAGCTAGAGTCTCTGCAAAATAGCCTAAAGTTTCTTAAAAGTAGCCAAAAGTCTCTGAAAATAGCCAGAAGTATCTAAAAATAGCCTAAAGTTTCTTCTCTGAAAAGTAACCTAAAGTCTCTGAGAACTAGCCATAGTCTCAGACTATAGCCAACGGTCTCTAAAAAATAGCCAGAGCCTCTAAATAATAGCCAGAGTCTCTGAAAAATAACCAGAGTCTCAGACAAATTGCCAAAGTTTCTTAAAAGTAGCCAAAAGCTTCTTGAAAGTAGCCTATAGTCTGTGAAAAATTGCTTAAGTTTCCTAAAAGTAGCCACAAGTCTCTGAAAAATTGATAAAATTATTTTAAAGTATTTAGAGTATCTGAAAAATAGCCAGAGCCTCTGAAAAATAGCTATAGTTCCTAAAAAATAGCCAGAGTCTCCAAAAAATAGCTAAAGCTTCTTAAAAGCAGCCAAAAGTCCCTCAAAATTAGCCTCTGAAAAATTTTCAAAGCTTCTTAAAAGTAGACAAACGTCTCCGAAAAATAGCCAGAGTTTCCAAAAAATAGTCAGAGTCTTAGAAAAATAGCTAAAGTCTCAGAAAAATAGCTAAAAGTCTCTGAAAAGTAGCCAAAAGATTTTGAAATTAGCCAAAAATCTCTGAAAAATAAAGTATACGCTGTGGAAGACGATGTGGCGCACTAGACTTTTGTGTATTCTAGCCGAACGATATATGATGAACAAAGAAACAGGGCTTGTGATAGGCCTATTTTTATATTATATATATATATATATATATATATATATATATAAATTATAAAATTTGTCGACTAACCTCCGACTACTCTGCAAGTAAGCATGACGTCATCCCCTTCTTCATGAGGTCCTAATTGCGACCCATTAAGTTGACGTCCCCACCGGTCTAAAACAGCTGGACGTTCTGGAGGAACTGGAACAAAAAAATCACTATTAGATATACAAATTTAATTTATTTATGGTCTACACATAAAAAAATCCTAACAGTTAACCGCTGGGTTGCTATCTCAAAAATAAATTAAAATGTTAGAAAGTTTGTAGTGATTCCTGGTTCATTCTCTTATTGGCAACTGCTCCACCGGCTTCATTTTTTATTGTATCAACAAAAAGTCTTTTCTACGTTCGGAATCTGATTTTATTTTATTATTTCATTATTTTATTACCTTACCCTCGTACTAAATGTGTTTCTTTGTATTCAGGTAGATGGAGATGTGTTATGGCTTTCATAAAAATGGCTCGGTTCACATTAAAAATGCATTTGAGCAATTTCCCGTTGTTATACTCCTCCACACGTGGAATATGGAGCACATGTGCGCTGGAGGACACCATATATATATATATATATATATATATATATATATATATATATATATATATATATATTTTATCAACTGGATTTTAGATGAAATGTTGTATAGATCAGATTTAATTTTCATTTTAATTCGTAACAATACTTTTTGCCCTAAATTTTATATTAAGACCAAAGATCTTCAAAAATAGCTAGAGTTTCTGAAAAATAGCTAGAGTTTCTGAAAAATAGCCAAAGTCTTTCAAAAATAGCCAAAGTCCTTCAGAAATAGCCAGAGTTTCTTAAAATTAGCCAAACGTTTTTGAAAAAAAACCAAAGTTTCTCAAAATTAGCCAAAAGTCACTGTCAAATAGCCAAAGTCTCAGGAAAAAATCCAGAGTCTTAGGAAAAAAGCCAAAATCTTAGGAAATAGCCAAGGTCTCTAGAAAATAGCTAAAAATCTCTAATTGATAGCCAAAAGTCCATGAAAAATAGCCAAGGTCTCAGGAACATAGCCAGAGACTTAGGAAAAAAACAAAATCTTGAGATAAAGCCAAAAGTCTCGGAAAAATAGCCAGAGTCTTAGAAAAAGAGTCAAAGTCTTAAGAGAAAAGCCGAAAAAGTCAAATCCAGGGTCTCAAAAAAATATCCAAGTTCTCAGAAAAAGAGCCAGGGTCTCAGAAAAATATCCAAGGGTCTCAGAAAAATAGCCAGAGTATCAGAAAAATAGCCAGAGTTCCTGAAAAATTAGCCAGAGTCTTTTAAAAATATCTAGAATACCATAAAAATAGCCAGAATCCCTAAAAAATAGACAGAGTTTCTCAAACGTAGCTAGAATTGCTGAAAAATAGCCTGAATCCCTAAAAAATAAACAGAGTCTTTCAAAAATAGCTAGAATTTCTGAAAAATAGCCAGAAAGCCCAGAAAATAGACAGGATCTCTCAAAAATAGCTAGAATTCCTGAAAAATAGCCAGAATCCTTAAAAAATAGACAGAGCCTCCAAAATAACCAGAGTGCCTCCAAAATAACCAGAGTGCTTCCAAAATAGCCAAAGTGCCTCCAAAATAGCCAAAGTATCTACTTAATAGTGAAAGTATCTCCAGAATAGCCAAAGTGCCTCCAAAATAGCCAAAGAACCTCCAAAATGAGCAAAATCCTGCTTTTTAGATGAACTATTGTATAAATCAGATTTAATTTCCACTTTAATTCACAACAATAGTTTTTTCCCTGAATTTCATATCTTTTTATCATATTTATTACGTTTTTTCCACTCAAATAGCTTATGTCACACAATTGTTGGAGAGATATCCAACAACAATGCGCGTTTGATAAAATACGAGATGCAATTTCTGGCGTTTTTCGCGAATATAATTGTTGCAATATTTCACAAGGACATTCTGCATTGTTATATTTATTATATAAGGCAAAATATGCGAGTGCATTTCTGGACAGAACAAAATTCCCACAAACATTTTGACCAAAATTACATGTGTAATATTTTTCCAATTAAATATTTTGTTTATAATTCACCTATAAATATTTGTTCCTCCACCATAATTATTTATAAAACATTCGCCCTATGAAATTTATTGAAATCGATTTTACGCCCAAATGGCAATATGTTTGTTTTAGTACTTAACTCTTGTGCAATGTGCAATTTTAATTTAATTAATAAACGCAATTACGTATATAGACCTAATTTGATAGATCAATAGAACGGGTTATGGCTTTTACTATTATTGTTCGCACTAATTGCATATTTTTATTGCAATAATTATATAGTAATTGGTTGCAACAGTGGAATGAATTCATACGAATGGGTTTTGTGTTAATTAGTAATATAGCACCAGTTTAATATCGATAAAAAAGCAAAAATTTTGGGTTTTTACAAAATATGTCATCGATAGCAAAGTTTGAGGTTGAAATAATAATTAAATTATTAGTTAAATTTTCATTAACAATTTTCCAATATGAAGAAAATGGTAAGGTGTAATTTAATGTTGTTTTAAAAATATCATATAATATAATATGATATATTTCCTAGAGTAAAATAATATTTGGCAAGGTTCTTAAATGTTGGCCAAAGGTCTTGCAAAATGGTCAGAATCTATAAAAAATAGCCAGAAGCTCTGAAAAATAGTCAAAAGTTTCTCAAAATTAGCTAGAGTCTCTGGCAAATTAGCTAGAGTCTCTGGAAAATTAGCTAGAGTGTCTAAAAATTAGCCAGAGTCTCGAAAAAATAGCCAGAGTCTCGGAAAAATAGCCAGTGTCTCGGAAAAATAGCCAGAGTCTCGGAAAAATAGCCAGTGTCTCGGAAAAATAGCCAGAGTCTCGGAAAAATAGCCAGAGTCTCGGAAAAATAGCCAGAGTCTCGGAAAAATAGCCAGAGTCTCGAAAAAATAGCCAGTGTCTCGGAAAAATAGCCAGAATCTCGGAAAAATAGCCAGAGTCTCGGAAAAATAGCCTAAAGTCTCTGAAAAATGGCCATAGTCTCAGAAAACTAGCCAAGGTCTCTGAAAAATAGCCAACAGTTTCGGAAAAATAGCCAACAGTTTCGGAAAAATAGCCAGAATTTTAGAAAAAGAGTCAAAGCCTTAGGAAAAATGCCAAAAATTTCGATAAAATAGCCAGAGGTCTCGGAAAAGTAACCAAAAGTCTCGGAAAAATAGCCAGAAGTCTAGGAAAAATAGCCAGAGTCTTAGGAAAAGAGCCAAAAGCCTCAAGAAAAACAGCCTAAAGCATCGGAAAAATAGCCTAAAGCATCGGAAAAATAGCCCAAAGTCTCTGTAAAAGGTCAGAAGTCCCAGAAAAATAGCCTAATACTCAGAAAAGTAACCAAGGTCTCTAAAAATAGCCAATTTTCTCTAAAAAATAGCGAAAAACAACTAAAAAATAGCCAAGTATTTCCTCAAAAAGACCAAAGAGCCTAAAAAAGCAAGAGATTCTTTAAAAAAAAAACAGAGTCTTTAGAAATTAGTCAGAGTTCTTTAAAAATAGACACAATATCTAAAGAAAAACAGCCAGAGTCTTACAAAAATATTAAAAGTTCTAAAAAATTTCTGAGAAATAGCCAAAGTGCCTCAAAAATAGCTATTAAACTAGCAAAAAGCCTCTCATAAATAGTCTCAATTTTTCAAAGATAGCCAGAGACCCTGACAAATGAAAAAAATACCTAAAAACTGATTAAAACTCTCAAAAAGAGCCAAAATGTCTAAAAACTAACCAGGGTCTCTCAAAAATAGTCAAAGTGAATTTAAATAGCCTGAGTGCTTTCAAAAGACCCAAAGTGTCTCCAAAATAGCCAAAGTATCTCCAAATACCTAAAAAGCCTCCAAAATAGCCAAAGAGCCTCCAAAATAACCAAAGAGCCTCCAAAATAGCCCAAGAGCCTCCAAAATAGCCAAAGTGTCCCCGAAATAGCCAAAGTGCCTCCAAAATGACCAAATAATAAATTCCTCTTTATTTTCTATCTTGAAACCAAAAAATACCTAATGTAATTTTAAATTAACAATTTATCTTTGTCAAAAAATAGTTTCTTTAACAAAAACCATCATTTAGTATTATTTATCACAACTTTATGTTGAATAAAAAAATACCTTTGGCACTCAACAGTATTTTTAGCGTTTTTATAAAATTTATGAATTTGGCATAAAATATATGTTCATATTATTATTATATGAATCAGTATATGAAATGTATGTTCACATCTGTCGCGAAGATTTTTCTTTTTTATAGAAATCGTAAACATTCAGTTTATTACATATGCATACAAATATATATATATATATATATATATATATATATATGCATATATATTTCTCCCCGGTCTCCTCCAGAATGCAAATAAAAAATTTTGTTTTATACGACCAGAAGAAAAAATCGCAGATGTTTCTCGTATATGTTTTTCATGGTTTCGTTTCCTGTTTTATAAGCGGACGAATTTTCTGAAGTATTTATTGCTCATAAATATGTATTTACATGCACTCGCCCTACTCGATTTTTAGGTCGCCCTTCGGTTGTAGGTCCGAAGTCTTTGCATTAAGGGATGTATATAGGCTGTCAACATAGGAATACATTATTTATGATATATATATATATATATATATATATATATAATAGTTTTCCTGCATGTATTAATATGCGCCTCCACCGGAGCAGAAGTTATCGTTTCTCTATAATACACTGATTATATAATATGTAACAAAGTACTTCAGAAACGCCATGCATATCAATGTAAAACACACGGTGACATATTATTTTCGAATATCGAAAATATAATGCCTGATATAATTTAGAAGGCAATAAAATTTTGATTTGTGCCGGTGGAGCAAATGGGAGCCCATTTGTAGTTCAAGTTCTTGTGAACATAATTTATTCATATTAATAACTGTCAAAAATGGTGTATGTGTGTGTATAAACCGATTATATTTAAATTTGCTTTGACAAGAATAAAATGGTAAGGTGTAGCTTAATGTTGTTTTGGAAATATTATATAATATAATATCGTATCTTGCGTACAGTAATTTAAAACTTGACAAGGTGCCTAAACACTACCCAGGGTCTCTGAAAAATAGCCAGAGTTCTTTAAAAATAGCCAGGGTCTCTGAAAATTAGCCAGAGTCTC